CCCTTTAAAACACCCACATTCGCTCGTAGATCAGAATTTTGCTCTCCCGGAAGAAGTCTCATCGTACTTCCGTTGCCTCTAAAAGTGGATAATTATGATTTTTTTACTCGTCTATCCTTCTTTTCTCTCTCTCACTCTCTCGTTTTCTCCTTCCTTTCTCTATCTTTCGCGCTATCGTTTTTTCCTTTTTTTTTTCTCTCTCTCTCTCTCTCTCTCTCTATCTCTCGTTCTCTCTCTGTCTCTCTCTCTTCTTTCTTTCGTTTTCACTCACCTTCAAGGTCCCGTATCGAATTTTGGTCTGACTGGCAAGATCCGCCGTATCCTCAATCAGGGTCGTCATCCTTTTCAACCGTCAAAACGCAGGCCAGCTGGGCCGGGTAGGACGAGATGAGGATTTGGGTGAACATCCACCTGAAGTGGCAATGGTCTCTGCTAGCTTGCCCTCAAATCTAGTGCCTGCTAGCCTGTTCTGTCCTAAAAACCTTTGTTAGCCTTTTCTTTCCTAAAGCATCCCTGCTAGCCTGCTCTTTCCTAAAGAATCTCTGCTAGCTTGTCCTAATCTCTTACCAAATGACGGTGACAACTCGAGTAGCAGCAGCTCGCGGAATCACATCCGATCCTTGCTGCATCAACGACCCAACGGCGAACCATAGCGAATTCAGAATCGTGAATTGATTCTTCTGATTCTCGATCGACGGGTTACGCTCGTCAATCTTTTTCGATGTCGTACCTAAACGAATTGTCAAGCTAATGTTTCGTTATTGGCCTCTGCTATCTTGCCTCAGCAAGCCCGCGCTTGTCCGGTCGCTGCTAGCTCCCCCACTTACCATTCATACGTTTGAACTGAACGCAGAGCAGACATCAATGAGAGGTTTGGAAGGTGATCAGGTGGGAGGCCAGACGGTTAGGGAGAGCGGCTCCAGGAGGGTGAAGAGGCTTTTGAAGAATCCTGAAGATTAATTTAGAGCAGGCGGTGGCGAAGTCCTTTAGGAAAGGAGCAGACTAACAAGAGATTTTTGGAAAAGGGCAGGCTAGCAGAGATTTTTTGGAAAAGGAGCAGGCTAGCAGAGAAAATTTACCTCTTGCGATCGAGCCAGCAAAATCGAGATTCCGAGATGCATGAGAAGGGAGAGTGATCTGAAAAATTGAACAATTGGGGTTTATTTTCTGAATTCGGGTTTTTGACCGTAACTCACTCACCTATCACCTCCACCCTACTGTAGGTGATCGTCACCGCCGAGACGGACAGATCGGCTTCATGTCGTTGTGGGACCCCGATGATTCCGTTCCAGCGTCCGGATTCGTCTAGAAAATACCACCGATATTTTCTCGCCTCTCGCTCTCTCTCTCTCTCTCTCTCTCTCTCTCTTTCTCTCTCTCTTTCTCTCTCTCTCTCTCTCGCTCGCTTACCTCATTGATCCAGAAACTCCGTCGACCACCTCGATGATCATTTAGTTGAATTTGAGTACCTAAAAACTTAGATAGAACTTGGAGAGAGAGACCGGGCGAAGAAGCGAGATATAAATGCTGACCCGCGCCATCTCGTTGAGCAAATCGATGCAAGAACCCCTCATTGCTGCCCCTGGGCGTTTTTTCATCCGAACGGCTCTTCCACCAAATTGATTGATATTTGTAAGGCTTGCAATGCTGTTTTTGCTGTCGCATTGCCCCCCCCAAGCTTCTAATTCAATTTGTTCGAGAGCTTTTTTGGATTTTTGCGCGTTTCAGCTTCTTCAAAAGCTTACGACTTTTGGCTATGCTCTAAAAACCGGAACCCCTGCCAAATTCCACGTTTAAACGTGTTTTCCGAATTTCCCATTGTGCGTTGAACCCGGATTATTTCACGCAAAAAACCAGGCAGATGGTGGGCCGATCGGGCCGGCAGCGTCCGGTTTTTATGGCCAGCAAAAAGCCGACCATTTTCGGGCGACCACGTTATATTTTGGGCACTTCATAGGGCGTGAGTCCCGGCCAGTGACTACTTTTTGAAGTCTTTTGACAATTTGGCGTTACAAAGTCGCATTTTAAAGGCGTTGGGAAGTAAAAATAGTGAACTACGAAACTTATAAACAGGAAATCAGACCTTGTCTGGCAAAATTCTGAGAGCATTTCCACTCGCCTCAAAACGGTCTTTTCAGGGCTCTGACAGTCAAAACATGATATTTTTCAGGCGTATTAATCGAATAGCCTAAAAATATACGTGCTACTCAAAACTACAAACTACAGACTGAAAACTCCAAATAAGGTTCACCATGTAAACGACAACCGCAAATACAGCCCGAGCCAAGTCTTCCGCATCCGGATCGATGTCGAATTCCCCAGCTGAAAAAGCGTGTTTGACCGGGTCGAAGACTTAGAGCACGAGCTCGAAAAAACTTACCGATTTGCATATCCGGAGTCGAACTGCCAGCCGTCCTCCTCCGGACCAGTTGCCAGCTGAAAAAAATGATTTTACCGATTTTGTAATTTTCTGAATCCCTCTGCTAGCCTGCCCTTTCCTAAAGAATCTCCTTCACCTTGCACTTTCCACAAGAATTTCTGCTAGCCTGCACTTGCCTAAAGAATCTCTGCTAGCCCGCGTCCTTTCCTCAAGATCCCTGCCAGATTGCCCTGCACCAAAACCCAAATTTTCCAGAGTTGGGAGGTTCATCCAAGATCCTCAAAATCCACCATATTTTAACGCTGGCTCAATTTCAATTATCTATTTTTCAAACTTTTCCGGGAGTTTCCAGTCAGAACGGGTCGCCCCGGTTCGCGTAAACTATTTAGCGCCTGCAGTATGTGCGCCAGTCCTACCCGCGAAAAGACCCAAAGTCCCTGTCTGCGGGGATACCCTGAGAAAATATAGACCGAAAATTGGCAGGGCGAGAGCAGAAGGCGAGAGAGGAGAAGGAAAAGAAAGGGAGAATGAGAGGAACGATATTTTTTCTAGCCCATTTAAACGACGTGTCTCTGCTGATTTTGAAAATGTCGTTACTAACTATCTCTGTATTTTTTGGGAGTGAGCTGGCAGAGAGATTCTTGTGAAACTTGAAAACTTAAGGCACACAGGAGACAGGCTGGCAAGATTTTCAAGGAAATTAGACAAGTGTACTAAAATTTTGCCTTTCTCTGGATCTCTCTATCTCTCTCCCGCTCTCTCATATCTCGCTCTCGATCTATCTATCTTTCTCTCAGCTCTCTCTCGCTCTCTCGCTCTCCTCCCATCTCTCGCTCTCTCTCGCATTTTTGCTTTGCTACAGGGGCTGCGAGAGGCAGGGATCTTTTAGGAAAGTTCGCGTCAAGCAAGGGTCAGGCAAGCCCAGCAAAAGGCCTTCGGGAATTCTAGAGCGAGCAGCAAAGATTCTTAGGTAACTTGAGCTCACAAATTTAGGAAAACTGGTGGCAGGCTGGCAGAGATCTTTCCGGAAACCTTGCTACCTGACGCTTGAAATAGTGTCGTGCCCCAACTCCATTAGGCTTTGCAAACGTTCGAGCATCAAACACCCTTATTTTCGCCATTGAATACCTAGGTTTTATTTTATGGGTGAGTGTACGCGTTGCTCCTGTAAACGGACTGCACAAACTCAGCGCGGGGGGCTCGCTTTTCACCTGGCGTTTGATCCCCAAACTTCGACTATTTGCGCGTACAAATTTTTTTTTTCGTCTATCTCTCCCTCTCTCTCTTCTCTCTCTCTCTCTCTCGCTCTCTCTCTCTCTCTCTTTCTGCTTCACAAAATGGGCGTGGCTTGGCCGTTCCGCCCGGGGTGCGAGAAACTCGCCCAAATTCTGAGTACCCCACTATTCGACGGATTAGTGAGTTCAGAAATGATTCGACAGGTTGGTTTGGAAATTTCCCCTAAAAACCTCTGCTAGTTTACCTCCGGTTTCATAATGCTTAAACAATCGCTGATAGTCTGCCTTAATTCACCCAAGTTTCTTAAATGATCTCTGCTAGCTTTTTCTCAGCCGCAAAGCGCCTAGAAAACTTTCTGATAGCCTCATCTTTGCTAGCTCCTCGGTCCCCAAAATTCCCAATGATGCCCCAGCTAGCCTGCCTTCGGCCCCTCTTTTTTATAGTGCGCCATTGCCCCTCCCATCGCCCTCGTGGCCCTGAATGCCGTCACCCCCAACAGCAAAGGCCAGCAGGAACCAGGACCCACCATTCCTCCAGGGTAAGTTTCTGTCCTCTCTCTTGCTCTCTCTCGCTCTCTCTCTCTCGCTCTCCTCTCTCTGTCTTTCTCTACCTCTCTTTCTCGCGCTTCAAAACCACATTTAGGCCTCCGGCTCCGTCAGGTCCAGCTTCCGGACCCTTTTCCAAAACTCGGTCGATGACGGAGGAAGCAGATGAACGACAAGGTCAATGCCTGGGTCGGCCAGCAGTCCCAGTCTATTCAGGTGAGTAAATTCCGGGATCTTTGCTGTCCATCAGGCTTAGGCTAGGCTTAGGCCTGAGCTTAGGCTTGGGTTGAGGCTTGGGTTGAGGGCTACATTCCCAAATAATGTCTTCTAGCCTACCCGACACTTTTCGGTCAGCCTACAAGCAGTTCAAACAGCAGATGGATCAGATGAGGCCCAGGCCAAGCCTGCAACAGCATCAGCAAGCCGTTCAGGGGGCTTTCGGCTACCGCCAAGAGAGCCGACCAGGACTTAACTCAGGTGGGCGTTTGCTTAGCACTGAAGCAGGCTTGAGCTTACGCTGAGACTTGGACTTTCGCTTCCGCTCGTGCGTTTCCAAAAGAATCCCTGCTAGCCTGCCCTTTCCAGATCGCCGACAGTACCTCGCTGACGATGGCCGACAAGATCAAGCAGATCGGCGCCTACCTCCAGAACCTCCAGGCACCAACCCCCCGCCGCCCAAGAAATCCAGCGCGTCATGCAAATGGGCGGCCCTCCTCAATAAGCACACTACGCGGTACACCAAAAGACGGGAATCGGATCTCCACAACACATCGCAAATATTACCCCCACCATTTACAATGTATAAACGTGAAAATAAACTTTTCTTGCTACACCTTTTCTGAGATTTGCATCTGAATTAGAAACCGCTCTTGCGAGGATGCCGCCAATTACTAAAGAATCTCTGCTAGCCTGCTCTTTCCTAAAGAATTTCTGCTAGCCTGCCCTTTCCTAAAGATCGCCTGTTAGCCTCCAGTCACCAGCCTTCACAAAGACGGACTGATCCTCCCCACTCCATAAAACCGCGTGTTTTCGCCGTCCATACGTGTCGAACGCCACTTCACCCGTCATTTGGTGCGGTTCATTAATTTGAAAATAGGTTTAAAGGGAACATGATATCTGGAAAATACCTTCCGGATTGCCTCGTGCTTCGTTTCCCGTCTCTCCAACTGTCCCGTGCATCACAGAGTAATGAAGCTGGGCGGGAGGGTAGCCGAGCTGAAATCGGCAGAGGCAGGTGAGAGAGAGAAGAGAGATAGCAAGAAAGGAAAGAGAGAGAGAGAGAGAGAGAGAGTGAGAGCTCAAGGCGTGATAGAGATAGGCGGCCTCTTGGAGAAAGCAGCCGCCGCTCCGATCCGCCGATACTGTCTCGGTCATGGGGCCAATGAAGTCTCAAAAAAATTGCGTTGTTAGGCTTAGACTTAAGGCTTAGGCTTTAGGCTTAGGCTTAGGCTTGGGATTGAAGCTTAGGTTTGACTACCGTACCTTCATCATTGGGTCGTTCTTGACAAGCTGCAGCCCGGTGATATTACAATGGAACGGGGCAATGTTGTTGGGGAGATCTTCGAGCAGGAGGTCCTGGAACGGAAGTACCTGATTGAATTGTGTCTTTCACGTCCCTTTAAAGGCGCTCAAAGGCACCGGTTCTACCGTATGCGTGAAGACGTAGCTGTGGCCGGCTGCTCGGTGGTCATGTTCATCCCTCTACAGCCCAACTGGATGAGGCTGTACAGGATGGTGATGTTATTCGAGTGGACCACCTGGGGTACAGTAGTAAGCGACAGAAAATGTACTCTCTCTTGACTGCGTATACGGTACCGTACTGTTTTACGTACGCGATGCCCATGAGTCACCGGTAGACAACTAGGAAATCAATAAAACTTACGATATTCGTTTGCAGCAACTTGTTCCGGATGATGTCGAGAACGGCTCCGAACTCGTCGGTGCTCCGCAGCAGCTTTTTCACCTGAAAAATATGCAAATTTAGTTTTAAAGGGACCAAAGGGAAGTGGAAAAATATCGGAATTTGTATAATATTTTTTCAATTTTTTTAATTTAACCATGTTCCCGATTTTCCGCACTTCCCGATCCCTCTAAAAAATCCGCTCCAAAGCTACCGGCCACCCAGAGAAACTATAGAGGGTTGTTTGGAACACGCATGCGAGGCGAGGCTGCAATTTTAAAGGTACGGGGCCAGGCAGGGGTTGTGGATTTTTGGCTATGGATTTTAAACGAATTTCAATGCACGGTTCTGGTCTGTTAGCGGGGGGACTGATTTTTTCGCAGGGGTGGGAAACCACTTTTGTTTTTCTGCCTACCTTTATCATATCTAATGCATTTTTAAAGTCTTTTTAGCAGTTTTTAACTGCTAAAAAGTTACAAAATATTGTTTAATTTGAAAATGTCGACCTTTTCTGGCCATTTTTAAATAATTTAACCAAAAAGTTTTTTTATTGTTTTATATCCAAAAACGATGCCAAATGCTATAAAAATGGTTCATATTTTGTTAGAGGGCTGTAGAGAACCATAGCGAAAAATCTGGTATCCTCCCGCTAACGGTCCAGAACCCAACGCACCACGACACGCAACGCGCTCGCCGTTCGCTCCCCACAGCGGCTTGCGCGTTGCGTTGCGTTGCGTGTCGCGGGCGCGGCGAACTCGGTAAGAAATCCGCAACGAAAAATCGGGGACCATGCCTTGCCAATCCCTTTAAAACGCTTGTTAGGTCATGGAAGAAACGGCAAAGAAGAGTGTCGATCTACCCGATGGTTACCTTCACGTTTATCCGATGCACCGGCGGCCCGAATTCCTGATCGGATTTTGCTTTTTGAAGATTTGTGGCAGGCTAGCAGAGATTCTTTGCGGAAACTAGCAAAAATATCTTGGGAATCCAGAACTGGGTCAGGCTAGCGGAGATTCATAGAGAAAAATAAGATGGCTAGCAGAGACTATTGAGGAAATTTCAATCCGTGGCGAGCTGGCAGGAGATTTTTAGAGAAAACGAGTGCTGGGATCGGCTAGCAGAGATTCTTTCCGAATTGATATTCTGAATTTTCCCAGCCAAAATTCTAAAATTGTTCGTCGTAGAGGGCAGGCTAGCGAGAGATCATTGAGGAATTTTTGTATACCTTGACACTCGGCCGCATCGTCAGATGATCATCATCGTTCCGGTCGGTCATCAGCGGCGCGACTTCCTCGAGGTCTAAAAACCAATAAAATACAGAAAAATGGATCGAGTTTTTTTCTTCCAAGTCTCTTTAAAAACTTAGAAATCCCAAAATCGACTTTTCTCGCCAACTAGGTCTCGACAACTACGCAACGCTCCAAATCACACATGCTTCGATGTTTTCTTATTGTCCTTGAGAAGCTACGTTGGTCCGAAAACGAAAGAATGGTTCTGTCGAGACCTAGCCAAGGGAAGGGTCGATTCCTTCATAATCCCTTTAAGAAGTGTACCGGAATCCGCCTGATATGCTAGCAGAAAGCTGTTCCACCGCAGGTTGTGGATGAACTCGCGGGTAGCTTGAGCGGCTAGGCCTCTAGAAATTGGAAACATGACTTGTTCTCTCTCTCGCCTCTCTCTCTTTCGTTTTCTCTCGCTTCCGCTTCTTGTCTATTTAAGGCCTCTTCCCCTTACTAACCTCCTGGTCCCAGCTGGGTCAGGAAATCGCTCACGGTTGTCGAAAGGCCGAAATTCGAGACGGCCACGCACGGGATCTGGAAATGAGGGTGTTTTTGGGGCATTCGGCTAGACTAGACTAAGAGCAGCTTGGGGGATGCTAGCAGAGATTCTTTAGGAAAGGGCAGGCTAGCAGAGATACTTCATGAAAGGGCAGGCTAGCAGAGATTCTTTGGAAAACACGTGTAGATGGTCAAAATTCCCCAAGAATCTCTGCTAGCCTGCTCTTCCACTCACTACGCACCTGTAGATGATGACATAAACTGTGCAACATTGGCGAATCCAGCGCCGGCTCGCTGGGGGCTATCACCAGCGCGACGATCGAGTGCTGTACGACCTCGCATACTGAAAATGCGGTAAAAGAGTGATATAAAATCTGAAGGTACTGGGAAGGAATAAGTTCCTCTACCCCGTTCTTCTATCGGCGTACGCGCCGAAGTCGGCGATGCAATTTGGAAGGCGACGTTCGTGTGGACGGCCTGCTCCCGTTCCACCTCTCCACGGCATACCGAAGGTTTTCATAGGCGAGGCTGCCTTTAGTGAGGTCGTACCTGAAAAAAAAAGATATTTTAGCCTGTCCTTTCCTAAAGAATCCCTGCTAGCCCGCTCCCTACCAATATTCAGCGTAACGGCCTGGGCCGCCGGTCCGAAGATGAGCAATAGACGGAGGCCGAGTGGCCATCTCCACATCCCTCGCGCATGCGCAGTCGCTGCCGGGCGGAGTTGGAGCGGAGTAAGTCTGGGAAATTCGATCGTTAGGGAAAGGGACAGGAAGGAGAGCGAGAGAGAGAGAGAGAGAGAGAGAGAGAGAGAGAGAGAGATAAAGCCAGGTCCAGCTTGGCTTCGGCTTAGGCTTAATTTAGACCAAAAATGACTTTTGAACGCGAAGTCCGCAGCAAATTTGGAAAACGGATTCGGAATCAGCAAAAAATTCTGAACAAGATAGGCTTGGCCCCATCCTAAAACGCCAGCCTGAGTAAAAACTCTTTACAGTTAGGCCCGGGTTTAGGTTTAGGCTTACGCTTAGGCTTAACTATACGCATTAATCTTTTGAGCAGAACCCGAAAGCTGGAACCCCTTTCCATCCCCCAGTTTTCGCTAAACGAAAAATTATTAAGAATGCGGAAATCGCGTGCCCGTCTGGCCGTGTGCTGCTCGAACGTCAATAGCTGCCTTTTTCAGGGGGATTTTGGGAATTTTCGAGGGATTTTTAAAAACTTTTCTGGAAGCTAGAGGTAATGCAACGTCTTCGGGAAGTTCAGAAAATTTCAGCGTGGCTGAGAATCAAGAGAAAAGCAAGGAAAACACCTCAGTGACGTCAAAACTAAAGCAAAAAAAAATCGAAAAATCTGCGAAAAGAAAAAAGGCACTTCTAAAAGGCAAAAAATATCAGAAAACACACAAAAAATCAGTAAATACGCTAAAATGCGAAAAATTTTCAAGAGTTTGAAACGAGCCAATAAAACCTGGTAAAATCTTTGAAACCCGAATTGTAACTTACTTAAATTCGCAAAAATTACGATCCGAAAGTCAGAAACAGCCCCAAAAAATTCCTAATTATTTTTTCCCGCTCAGTGTCGAGGGGGTGCACGTGAAAAAATATTCTGATGAGGGCAGGGCAGCAAAGACAGACGTCTTCGGGAATTTTTGATGGATTACGTGGAGGAAGAGGAGGGGAAGGGGGAGGGTTATTGCCTTTTCGGGATTCGTTGAGGGATTGGAAGAGGGCAGGTCGACAACACCAGGAAATTTCACTCAAGATCAGAAAATTGAAGAGTACAATCAACCATACAAGGTGCTAAAATTCCTAAAGAATCGCTGCTAGCTAGCCCCAGAAAACACCAAAAATGGATTGAAGGTTTGAAAAAATCACGTAAAAAATTGAGCACAAAAAAAGTCAAAAAGGTAGTTTCCCACAGAATCTCCGCTAGTTTGCTTCAATCGGTCCATTTTCCTGAAAGATCTCGGCTAGCCTGCCCTGGTCCACCGTTTTCTAAAGAATTCTCGCTAGATCCCGGACGCAGAAATTTTTAAAGAATCGATGCTATTTGCCCTGCATCAGCTGATTTTCCTCAAGGATCTCTGCTAGCCTGCCCCGGGCGCTCATTCCTGAAGTATCACCGGTAGCTTGCCCAGACGCATGAATCCCAAGGATCTCTGCCAGCCTGCTTCGGTTCCGATTTAGGATTAGGTCTAGGCTTCGGCTTATGCATAGGCTCCAGCAGCTTAGGCTTCCGAGACAAAATTCCACAATTTTTGAGCCCCAGAAAAAGTAGTTCCTTAAAAAGCGGATCTAAAAACCTGGGGTCCACTTTGAAAATTGCCCGAAAAGTATCCGGTCGGCTCGAGGTGGGGAGGGGCAGGTTGTCCTCTCCGGAAAGGGGCCGTAGACCTAGGGCATTCGGGCACGGCTAATCGTCTTTTCTTTCGGAATTTCGTCGTGGTCGTTCTGGAAGGGCTGAAGAGAGGGGAGAGAGAGAGAGAGAGAGCGAGAGAGAGAGCAGGAGAGAGCAGGAGAGAGAGAGGGAGAGGGAGAAGGAGGTGAGAGAGAGAGAAAGAGAGAGCGATATAGAGAGAGACAGCGAGATCGATATCCGGGTTTTCGAGAATGGTTCTGAAGCAGAAATCGTATTTTTGGTCAGGAAGTTACCTTTAGTGCTTCCGTAGGAATCTCTGCTAGCCCGCTTTGCCCTCCTAACACCTTTAAAGCCGATTCCTAAAGGATCTCTGCTCTAGCCCACTTTCGATTCGCCTCGAATCTAGTTGCAAAGAATCTCTGTTAGCTTGCCACATCTGGACTTGCAAATCCATTGAAAAAGCATTCTCAAAAGGTATGTCCTCATCTGCGGACCCTCCTTCTCAGCCCCTTTAAGGTTATTTCCTAAAGAATCACTGCTAGCCTGCCAATCTCCCGAGCTCCAGATCACTTCAGAACCCTTTCCCAAACAATCTCTGCCAGCATGCCCCGAAAAATTCTTTGTTTTCCCTAGGCAGAACTCGGTCCCGTTGGTTTTTTTGCTCTCTGCAAGTCGTTGACGAGCGTTGGGGAGGTATGTGAATGAGTGTATATGGGGTGTGTATATGTGAATGCGTGGGGGCTGTCAAAAACAAAGGAGCCTCGCGGAATAGCCCCCCACCCAGCAAGGCTTGAAGAAAAGCTCAAAAAAGATCCTAGGGCGGGACAGCCGGGGACGTTTTGGCTTTTTGGCGTGTGTTTTAAAGAGACTTGGAAGGGAGGGACAGGGCGGCAAGCAGAGATTTTTTAGGAAGGGGCAGGCTAGCAGAGATTTTTTAGGAAACGGCAGGCTAGCAGAGATCCTTTAGGAGAGGGCAGGTTAGCAAAGATTCTTGCGGAAAAAGTGGTCAAACCCCAAAAATGAGCAAGTCTGGGAATCAAATTTTCAACGAGCCGGTCAGCTCCTAAAATCTGTCACCAAATTCCGCTAGGGTTCTCCCCCCGAAAAGAGCTTTGATTGCGACCCGTGGGAATTCAAATTCGGCCGCAGGGAAACCGCAGAAAAAATGCCGGATAAAAATCCGGAAGCAAGTGAGGCATCAGAAAATGGGAAGAGCTAGTCTGCGTTTTTCTGAAGAATCTCTGCTAGCCTGCCCTTTCCTAAAGAATTTCTGATAGCTTGCCACCACGGTAAAGACCCTCGGCGTCACCTGTTCCGTTTTGGCCAAACGGCTTCAGGCTATTTTCCGCGAACCCAGCTATTCCAGGCACGAAATCTAAACGAGGATCTCTAGCCGAGTTTTTGCTCGCCGACCACACACTAAAGATAGGGCAGCAATTTCGAGGACAGGCTGCGTCAGTTGGTACGTTGCGTAGTAAAAGAGAGAGAGAGAGAGAGAGAGAGAGAGAGAGCTAGCAAAGATCTTTTAGGAATTCCTATGAACATTTTAATGTTGCCCAAGCCGCTCGCTTCAAATTTGAAGTGAGGAACTGAATTCGGGGCCCCCGAATTCGTCAAGAGCACCCAAAGTAGCTACGAGGAAGAACGCGGAACGGCTGACGAGAAGAAAGAAAAGCGGCGACTCGTTAAAGAAATGGTTAAACGTACAAAAACAGAAGGTTCAGGAAATTCCGCAAATGACTTTTGCTAGCCTGCCTATATTCCTGAGGCAGGTGGGCTAGCAGAGGTTCTTAGGAAAGGCCAGTCTAGCAGAGATTTTGAGGAAAAAGCAGGCTAGCTGAGATTCTTGAGGAAAAGGCAGGCTAGCAGAGATTCTTGCGGAAAAGGCAGGCTAGCAGAGATTCTTGCGGAAAAGGCAGGCTAGCAGAGATTCTTGCGGAAAAGGCAGGCTAGCAGAGATTCTTGCGGAAAAGGCAGGCTAGCAGAGATTCTTGCGGAAAAGGCAAGCTAGCAGAGATTCTTGCGGAAAAGGCAAGCTAGCAGAGATTCTTGCGGAAAAGGCAAGCTAGCAGAGATTCTTGCGGAAAAGGCAAGCTTAGCAGAGATTCTTGCGGGAAAAGGCAAGCTAGCAGAGATTCTTGCGGAAAAGGCAAGCTAGCAGAGATTCTTGCGGAAAAGGCAAGCTAGCAGAGATTCTTGCGGAAAAGGCAGGCTAGCAGAGATTCTTGCGGAAAAGGCAAGCTAGCAGAGATTCTTGCGGAAAAGGCAGGCTAGCAGAGATTCTTGAGGAATCCCAGATCAAAAACTCCCGAAAAATAGCCTTAGCCCCTGGCGTCATCACCAACATTCGCAACACCAACCCCGGAACTTCTTCAAAAAGAACGGGAAGCTCTTACGGACAAACTTAAAGGGCCCACCGAGGGCCCAATGTTAGGACCCAACACCCTTTTTCCTTGTGTTCTCACAAAGGTTCGGACGATCGTGTGGATGAAGGGGTCGTCGTGTGGAGACAGAATATAGCTCTCCCCCTAGTCTGGGTCCTATCCCTTAGGGCCCAGTGGCCATAGCCAAGGGCCCCTAGGCCCGGGGGCTCGAATCCAATTGGCCGCGTAAACCGCTTACGACAGGACGATGGCCAGAGGCAGGGGGGCCACAGATAGAGGGCCCACCCCGACGGGGGGCCCTCTTCTAGCAGTCGAGAGGGTTTGAAATTAGAACAATTCCCCGGGGTGGTTGCACTTTTGGGAGTTTAGAATTCAGGTTTAAAGGGACGATGAAGGGGATACGGTTTCTGGAAGAATCTCTGCTAGTTTGCCTAGGGAAGAGAGAAAGAGAGAGAGAGGAGAGAGAGAGCGAGCGCATAGCAAACGTTTTCTAAAATTTTTGCTCGCTTCTTTGCCTTCACAGTTCCTTCAAAAAGTGTACAAAACTCGAAATTTTGGTTCAGTCGTTATATGAATTTTCGCTCCGCAAAAAACTCTGTCAGCTTGTCCTATGTGAGACGGAGAAGGCGAAAGAAGGAGAGATCGAGAGATCGAGAGAGTGAGAGATATTGAGAGAGAGTGCGAGAGAGTGAGAAAGAGCAAGCGAAAGCGAAAGGGCGTTAGAGAGCTAGCGAAAGAGAGATAAAAATTGATGCTAGCAGAGAGTCTTCAAAAAAGTTCAAACTAGCGGAGATTCTTTAGCAAAGCGTAGGCTAGAAGAGGCCCTTTCCGAATCCCGGAACGCCACAAAAATGACGTTTAGATGGGCGTGAAATTTGGCCCACAAGGGTTCCCGGGCTGCGTGGGGTAGGGAGGGCCATAAAAAATAATCCTGGCTGGGCCTCCCCCCTCATGCTCGCCTCCGATTCCCCTAATTTGCATCAAATTTCCCAGCCGCGAGCCGGCTGCCGGCCGTCCGGGAGTAATGCCGCGTAGTGTCCCGGAATTTTTAGGGGCGTTCCGAATTGAAATGGGGTAGTGGGGATTCGGAAAAATCTTAGGCTTAGGTTTAGGCTTGGGCTTAGGATTCGGCTTAGGCTTAGGCTTAGGCTTAGGCTTAGGCTTAGGCTTAGGCTTAGGCTTAGGCTTAGGCTTAGGCTTAGGCTTAGGCTTAGGCTTAGGCTTAGGCTTAGGCTTGGGCTTAGGCTTAGGCTTAGGCTTAGGTTAGGCTTAGGCTTAGGCTTAGGCTTAGGCTTAGGCTTAGGCTTAGGCTTAGGCTTAGGCTTAGGCTTAGGCTTAGGCTTAGGCTTAGGCTTGGGCTTAGGGTGCTTAGGCTTAGGCTTATGCTTAGGCTCAGGTTAGGCTTAGGCTTAGGCTTAGGTTAGGCTTAGGCTTGGGCTTCGGCTCAGGATAAAATTATTAAAATAAAAAATAGATAACTTCCGATTTGTTCCGGGTTCAAAAACTCACATGGCTAGAGCGACGCCGACATTCTAAAATGTGCCCTCCCCTTCGAGGGTGCAGCAAATAGAATTTGAATTCGACGTGCACCCGGAAAGGGCGACGCAGAAAGGGACTAATGCCACCTGTTTATGCTGTTTTAAAGGGGATGGGAAGGTCGAGGAAATCTGGAAAAAAGTAGGCTAGCAGAACTCCTTTTGGAAAGGGCAGGCGAGCAGAGATTCTTCGATTGCCCAGAATCTGCCTTCAAAGTTCCTTTAAAATGTCTATTTCTTTTTTTTGTTGAATGCCTTCATTTATTCCACCTCAATAATCCACAGACCAAACATCGCTATTCCACTTGTTCCTCACGATGTTCCGCTCGTACTTTTTGATCATCTCCTCGGCCAGTTGCACGTATTCTGCTTTGCAAGAAGTGGCAGACTTTCCTAAAGAATCTCTGCTAGCCTGCCCGTGCCTAAAGAATCTCTGCTAGCCTGCCCATTCCTAAAGAATCTCTGCTAGCCAGCCCTTTGCTAAAGAATCTCTGCTAGCCTGCCCTTTCCTAAAGAATCTCTGCTAGCCAACCCTGTCCTCAAGAATCTCTGCTAGCCTGCCCTTGCTAAAGAATCGCTGCTAGGCTGACTGCCGAAAATTCTAAATCTTACTTACCTCTCATCGCCTCCCAAGCCTCATACTTTTCCTTCTCAAACCCCGAGCCGGGTTTTACTAGAAAAATAGGAGATTTGGATCCTAAAAGTTGCCCAACTTACCGTACTCGTCCAGTGGTGGGATGTCACCATGCACAGCTTGTTTATAAAGGGAATAGAGTCTAAAAAATGCCCAAGAATACGAAGTTTTAAGCCATAAAGTTGATTTTTTTGGTGGTTTTTGACAACCTACCGTAATTTTTCTTCATTCGTGGGCGTTTTGTAGAGGCGCCGCATCTCTTCAGCGGCAATATCAAAGGTAAGGCCTTGCCATTTCTAGGTTGATCTTGCTAGCTCACTCTCTCTCGCTCCCGCCCTCTCTCTATCTCTCTCACTCTTTCTATCTCACTCGCTCTCCCGCTCTCTCACTCGCTTTTGCGATAATTTAAGGCAAAAACGTACTTTTCTTAGCTCTGAAAGCGGCATTTTAGCAGTAGATCCTCGGAATTTGGTAGAATATCGACTGCGAAGTGCTTGGGAGCTGTCTGTGTGTCTGTCTGTCTCTCACGCTCTGTCTCCCTCACTCTCTCTCTCTCACTCGCTCTCTCTTTCTCACGGCCGATCTCTGTTTCTTGTCCTCTCCCGCTCTCGTCGAAATTGGGACCCACAATTGTGGCCAATTTTGACGACCTCGCGATGTCATTTGTCGATAGTATTTTCGCGGAATCTAGCAGAAATTTTACTGTACTGTTTATTATTGCATTTTTACCCCAAAATATGCAAAATATTTATCGCTCATCGGGGCGGATCACAGGCGGGATAAAAGCATGGAAGAAGCAGAGGGAAAGTGCGAGATAGAGAGGGAGAGAGAGCGAGAGAGAGAGAGAGAGAGAGAGAGAGAGAGAGAGAACCAGAGACAGCTTCAGACCCCTTTCGAAGCCTCCTAAACAGTTTCCTGCCCTTTCCCCCGCGGCTCCATGCCGAAAATTCGACTCAAAAGCTGGAAATCGAGAGTGGGATAAGTGGAAATAGGCAAAGTCGGAGCTTCACTAGCTACGATAGGAATTTCCTGGGTTTCAGCAAGGGAAGTAAGGCCGGATTCCGGAGCGGTAGGCGGGACAAACATCGGTACCTCGGTTTCCGGAACCGCGAGTCCAGACGTCTTTGGTTTTGGAGATATTTGGGGAGGTGAAGCCTCTCGAATCGTGGCTCCGGCCGGTTGGGTGATAGGGAAAAGTGGAAACATCAACGGGGAGAGGTTTTTGCAGGCCTGAAACGTGTTGTAAGTAGGGCTTAGGCTTAGGATTCGGCTTAACCGATTCCAGAGAGAGAGAGAGAGAGAGAGAGAGAGAGAGAGAGAGAGGAGAGAGAGAGAGAGAGAGGGAGAGAGAGAGAGAGAGAGAAGGGAGATAGAGAGAGAGAGCGAGAGAGAGAGAGAGAGAGGGAGAGAGTGGGAGAGAGATAGAGACTCACCTGTACCCTCGGATACTTTGCATTCGGTCGTCTCCCGCGGGGAACCCGGGCCGTTGCCAATAAGCTTTCAATCGAGAACGAGGGCCCTCTTTTGAGCTGAAAAAAATCGAGGATTAAGTACAACCTTTTTCAAACCAACCGCATCGTCATCGCCAGGCTCTTTTTGGGTTGGGCCGTTGCCAAGCGCGATTTTACGTTGATTTTCTCGTTTTCGCCATTTTGCCCGACGGTTTTGGAACCAGACCTGAAAAATTCCACTACGGGTAGGCTTGCAGAGATTCTTGAGGTACCAGACCGGACAAGAAAAGCGACATTTTTAGCTCGCCCGCCACGTCACTATCATCCCCCCTAATCTGGGACATTTTTAGGGGCGGCCAGGGTAGCTTTTTCCGGCGGCGGCGCGGCGGGACACCAATTCATTGTCGTAGCCCGCAGATTTTTCCGTGTAGATACGAGCGAACAAATTAGGGACAGGGGCCACGAAAAGCCCTGGAAACTCATCCATCTAGGCCGCCCACCCGGGCACGTCTCTAACTTTTGATTTCGGAAAAGATTCCGATGGGAGGTTACGTGGTTTCGGGGTTGTTTCTTGGATTTAATGAGAGGACTTCAGAAGACAAAATAAAGCCACGATTTCCCACGAATCTCTGCCAGCTTGAGCTTTCCCAAAGAATCTCTGCCAGCTTGACCTTTCCTAAAGAATCTCTGCCAGCTTGCCTTTTCCTAAAGCATCACTGCTAGTTTCCTCAACCATAAATCCTAAAAATCAACCTGAACCCGGCTCTCCAGCAAGTCCAACCTCATCGCCAGCGACTCGCGCATAAACACATCCGGGTAATGAGAAGACTGAAATCGATTTAGGCGCTTTAATGACAACATACCTCAAAGGCCCCCTCCAGCTCCTCGAGTTGCCAGCCCGTAAAATTCGTCCTCGTGCGCCTCCGCTTTGAGTCCATCGAGTGGCAATCTGGAGTCAGTAGGTAAAAAAGCCCAAAATCTCTCTCTCTCTTTCTCTCTCTCTCTCTCTCTCTCTCTCTCTCTCTCTCTCTCTTCCCAACTCACCAATCTGTCCCATATCCACGTTATTCCCCTCTCCATCCGGGGTTTTTGGCGTGACGGCGGGACTCGGAGAAGACTCGGTGTCACCGGATCCGGATGCTGGGCACAACAGAGCTGCACAATTGAATAATTTGCATAATTCTATTTTGGCTGCTCTTTAAAGCTTCGTAGAAGGGCAAATCTTGCCATACAGTAGATTTTCGACTTGAGGGTCCCTTTAAGCCACAAAACTCACGAGTCTGGTTGACCAGCGATTGCTGCCAATACTGGTTCCACATCTGCGTCAGGTCGGCGTTCTCGAACATGGCTTTGAAGCTGAAAAATTGGCATAACCAAAGCCTAATCCTAAACCTAAGCTTAGCCTAAGCCCAAACCTAAGCCTAGCAGAGAATTATGAGAAATTTCAGGATTATTTTTTTTGGTCGATCGGGAGATGGCAGGCTAGCAGAGATCCTTTAGGAGTTGTGGATCCAATATTTTTGACAGCATAAGTGCAAACTAGCAGTGACGATTTAGGAATTGTGCGTATTTTCTAGACATTACAGGCTTTTTTAAATCCCGGAAATTCCTCAAAACGACAAAAATCAAGTGACGTAGTCGCTCAAAAATGTTTCGGGAAAATTGAGCCGCCGTAGCCTCGAAGCGGAAAATTGTGCAAGGGCAAGCTAGCATCGATCTTTTAGGACGATCAAAGACATGAGAACGCAATTGGAAAGCAGTTTTTGAAACGGCAATCTAGTCATTGAAAATACAAAAAATCAAAGCAGGGAAAAAAGCTATCGTAATCCTCAAAAACGCATAAAGCGGGGAGGGCATTTAGGAATTTTTCTAAAGCTTCAGCGAGCCTTTAACCATTTTTATAAACAGAGAGATTCATCGTAGATAATTTTAAACATTTAGAAAGTCAGAAAAGACGAGCTACCGTAACTGCAAGAGCAGAAAATTCGGCAAGGCAAGCTAACCGATATTTTAGGAATCATTTTTAAGACTTCTGAACGCCCTTTATAATTATAAATCAATGAGGCTCTGAAAATAAATCGGCTCCAAAAAATTACAGCCCGTTAAATCAAAAAAATCCAGCTACCGTACCCCTGCCCGACCGAAAAACGCCGGACGTCCGGCCACTGGGAAGGAAAAGCATTAGCCTGGCGGGCCCGGGTGGCCATGGGCCCTCGGGCCAATGGCCACCCCGAGGGGGCGGGTTTTTCCAGCTCTGGCGGGCCCCAAATTTCCCCACGGGACCCATTTTCAGGGTGGGGCCCACCCCGGAATCTCGAGCAACCAGTGAAAAGCAACCACCCGGAGTGGAGAAGTTGCGAAGGGGAATTTATTTTTGGCGTTAAGGCCTCGAAAAACACAAAAACTGGCTGGTGAAGTTCTAAAAAAGCCGTCTCTTTAATCTCTTTAATCTTTAAAACTTCTTAAAGGGCCTCGGAAGGCAAAATTTGCGGATAAGCGCTGTCGATAGACCGGATCGGCTAGTTATCAAAACTTTGCGGAGGGTTAGTCTCCAGGCTAGACCCCTTAAGGGACCTAGAGCATTGGAAATGGCACTTTCCAAGCCAGACTCTACGCGGCACAATTCCACAAAAAATCTTTTGCGGCGGCTAATCTCTGCTAGCGGCCCTTTCCTAAAGGATCTCTGCTAGTCTGCCTTTCTTAAACAAACTCCGCTAGTTTGCCCTTTCCTAAAGAATCTCTGCTCCGGTGCCCCCTTTCCCAAAGAAACTCTGCTAGCCGCCCGCTTGACAAATTTTCATTCGCCCCGTAAAATCCCAAGTCCAATCCAATCCCCCTCCATTTCCTGGGGTCAATCCATGAATTTCAATCAGTTTTTTTCTGGGGACCCCGAAGCGAAAGAGACGAATCCATTTTGCTCGAATTTCAACTGCCGGTCCTTGTCGTCCAGTTGGAATGGTGCCAAAAAGGGCCCTTCTCTACCCGATGGGGGCGACGAAGATGGAATTGCAATTCATCCGTCTACGGTCTCGATTACACCCCCACTACCCACAACGGGTCGCCCCAATTTTGCATATAAATTTATTTTCTGCCAAGAAGAGCAGCGGCCGATGAAAATTTGGAGCCCAATTTAGGGAATTAGGAAACGAGTCCAGCGATTATTATATCGAATTTATGAAAAAACGTGATGAAATGGCGAGCCGAGATCCTTTAGGATTCTTGGGTTACGCGCAGGCTAGCAGTGACCTTTGCGGAAATTTGCATCGTGAGTGACTAGCGTAGGTTGTTGATGCACAAAAAATATCAGTGAGGCAGGCAAGCAGAGATCATTTGGGGCGCTTGAGATTCGGAGAGGCTGGCAGTGATTCTTTCGGAGATTTCTCGGTTTTCGAAGCATTTCGGGCAAGCTAGCCGGGAAACTTTCAGAATTTCGATAGGGCAGGCTAGCAGGGATCCTGCAGCAAGCCCAGGCCAGACCTTGGCTTAAGCTTAGGTTTAAGCTTAGGCTTAGGCTTAGGCTTAGGCATATGCATTAGCTTGAGTTAGGCTTCGGCTTCGGCCTAAGAATAATGGTCAAATTCCGGACTAATACTATCGCCGGAAGTGCTTATGTTGCGAATCCAAGGCCTAGGGCCCAGAAATGGATGATGGGGCCCGGGGATTGGGCCCTGGAGAGTATATTTTGGGCATTTTCGACAGGGGCCTTATCTCTTCCACTCCCTCCATTGCTTTGGGCCCTAAAGGGGCAGAGAAGTGGGGGGGCAAGAATTGAAGAAGCTGATCATGGGCCCCGATAAGGCTAGGGCAATTTGGGGGCCCATCATGGGGCCCAGTATTTGAGTGGGCCCCCATCAAAATATGGGCCCCAATGGGATGTCCGGGCGGAGGGGAATCGGATTATTATTGTTTGGAGATGGATGAGTCGAATTCCTCTAGTCTGGGAATTCGGGAGAGGATCATAAAGAATCTCTGCTAGCCTACCTTTCTTAAAGAATCTCTGCTAGTCTGCCTTTCCTAAAGAATCTCTGCTAGCCTGCCGTTTCCTAAAGAATCTCTGCTAGCCTACCTTTCTTAAAGAATCTCTGCTAGTCTGCCTTTCCTAAAGAATCTCTGCTAGCCTGCCCTTTCCTAAAGAATCTCTGCTAACCTGCCCTTTCCTAAAGAACCTCTGCTAGCCTACCTTTCTTAAAGAATCTCTGCTAGCCTGCCTTTCCTAAAGAATCTCTGCTAGCCTGCCCGTTCATCCATTAATGCGCGAAAATCTCCCTCCCTCTGGGGGATCATCACCCCGAGGTGCTAATTTGAGGCGACTTGTTGTCTTCCAGCTGTCAGTCACTCATTCATTTTGTCCGTCTCTCTCTCTCCGTCTCTCTCTCTCCCTCTCTCTCTCTCTCTCTCTCTGTCTCTCTCTCTTCTGTCACTCCCCCCAGGCAACGATCGCATTATGATAGACGATAGGGCCGATTATGCAAATTAGCTGCCTGCTCACCACCTCCCCGGAGGAATTGTGACAGCCTCAGTAAATTCGCGCAATTTTGGCCTGCCAACCTTCACCGATCTCACTAATGATCTCTGTTACCTCCCTAGCGCTAGACGAAGTGCAGGCTAGCAGAGATTCTTTGGGAATTAGAAATACTCCGGGACCGGGTAGCTAGCAGGGATCATCTGGGACCGAATTTAGGAGAGCGGGCTTGTAGAAAACGGTGCCGGGCGAGCTAGCAGGGATTCATTAGGATTCGGGACACTAGTCATGATCCTTTAGGAACGAAGGAGATCTGAGGAGAGCTAGCGGTAACTCATTAGGAAACATCCAATTTTGGACCAGCTAGCAGAAGCTAGCAGAGATTCTTTGCCCACGTCCCACTTCAGAATAAATCTTTGTTTTTCCAGTCCAACACTCGCGGCTACCGTAATCCACTGGGGCCACCCGGGTCCCCAGTGGATTTTCGAGGGGGCCTGAGCAGCAGTGGATTGTGTTGGGAATGATGAATTTGGTGTGGTGAGGGCCAGTTTGGGCCCTTAGCCAAGGGCCCAATCCTTTCTTTTCCCTCAGCCACCCACCAGCCAGTGGCCAAAACGCTAAAATCTGACCCCAGGGAGTTGGGGGCAGTCGGGGGGCGCGAGGCGCCCTCGTCAGCCCCATCATGCGCCGATTTGCATTTGGCTGGCTAGGTGCGGCTAGGGGGCAACTCGGGATTACGGTAGTCGTGGCGTGGAGCAGGAAAAAAATTGTGAAGCTGGTGATAAGCCTAAAGAGCCACCTGCTATCCGGCCCCTTCCTAAAGAATCTCTGCCAGCCTGCCCTTTAAAGAATCTCTGCTAGCCTGCCCTTTCCTAAAGAATCTCTGCTAGCCTGCCCCTTCCTAAAGAATCTCTGCTAGCATGCCCTTTCCTAAAGAATCTCTGCTAGCCTGCCCTTTCCTAAAGAATCTCTGCTAGCCTGCCCTTTCCTAAAGAATCTCTGCTAGCCTGCCCTTTCCTAAAGAATCTCTGCCAGCCTGCCCCACCTTAAAGAATCTCTGCTAGCCTGCCCTGACTTGCCAGCCACTCACCCAACCGCTCCTTCCCTAGTTAGCATCTGAAACTATGCGAATGGGGCTCCCCTACTCGGCCCTCGTAGGTGAAAAATGGGGTCCCGGGGGGAAGGAGTCGAGGAGCCTGTCTCAATTATGGGTGTTTGCTCCCCGGTCCCGAGGGCATTTCGACAAATTTCCAGAAATTATTCCCGGACTACGGGGCGATACTATGGACGAGGATCTGTTTGAAGGGAAGGTGAACTGGCGGGGATCCTTTGTGGATTGGAGCAAGAGAGCGGGAGAGAAAAGAGAGAGAGAGAGAGAGAGAGAGACAGCGAGATAGGGCGAGAGAAGAAAGTAGAAATCTTTAAAGTTTAGGAAAAAGAAAGGAAGAGTCGGTTTGAGATCTTGGTGGAACGAAGAGCTCTATTTGGAAAGGCAAGCTAGCAGTATCTTTTAGGAATTCTACATCAGGGCAGCCTAGCAGAGGTTCTTGCGGATTCGCGGATGCTATTTTTTTGCGGTTACCGCTTCTTCTACTCCCAATCCCAATCCCATTAATTTCTGGGCCAATTTCTAGATGCCCTATTTAGAAATCGTGGCCATAATTCACCGTACGCAGGCGCGATTCGGAATTTCCAAATTTTCTCTTTCTGGCTACCACCCCTAGCAAATCAACGCGCCTCTAATCCATCTGCTTTCTATCGGGCTAAATTTTCGACAGCCCATTTCCAATCTCTCTTGCTTTCGCCCTCCCTCTCTCTCTCTCTCTCTCTCTCTCTCTCTCTCCTCTCTCTCTCTCTCACTCTCTTTCTCGTGCTCTTTTTCGGAGGCCGCCTTCCTCTGGCTTGTAATATATTTGAATCTCGGCTAGACAGGCTCGCTAAAAATTGCCCCCAGAAATTTGGAGGCGCTAAATTGGGCCCGGGGTGGGATTGGAAAACGTAAGAGAAGGGCAGGCTAGCAGAGATTCTTTAGTAAAACTATCCCCTTTTTAAGTGCATAAAAAGCTAGCAGTAATATTTAGGACGCAATGCACCCTGGGCAAGCTAGCAGAGATCCTTGCGGAACCAGAACTTTCGCCAATTTTTCCTTGAGCCATCTGGCAGAGGTTTCCTAAAAGATCTCTGTTCTTTGCCTGGGCTTCCAGATTTCCTAACGAACCTCTGCTAGCCCTTTTTCCCGGCAGGCTAGCAGCGATTCTTTAGCCGTAGCTTCTACACTTTTTACGTGAGCTATCTTGCAGAGATTCTTACACAATCACTCATTTTCCTCACGGTTCTCTGCTCTTTTTTCTTTCTTTAGCTTTCCTAGCTTCTCTGGGCAAGCTAACAGAGATCTTTTGGTTTTCCAGTTTTTCCTTCAATTCCAGAGGTCAGCCACCGCCACCCCCCCGTCATTTCATCTTTCCGTTTCTTCAAAGATTCGATGGCTAAGAAACAAGTTGAACTTTGTTGCTTCCATCCCTCCATTCGGGCAATAGGTCAGGTTTTTGTAGCCTGATTTGGGCATCGGAATCGCCAAATACACGCAGAAAGCAGAAACTGTGATTCATGCGCTGGGGGGGCAATTTTTCGGTTTTTGATCAGCCGCGAAAAGATGCGAACTTTCCCAAATTCGGCCAACTGGACGGGGAGAGAGCGGGAAAGAGAGAGAGGGCGCAGAGAAAAGAGAGAGAGAGAGAGAGAGAGAGAGAGAGAGCGAGAGAGAGAGAGCGAGAGAGCGTGCAGACATTTGGTACACCAGTCCATCTAGCGAACCGCCAGTCACGGTATCGGCTTCGTTTTGGGCGAATAGCCTCGCGGGGTTATGTATAAAATCCCCGGCTTCACGCTAGAAACATCAAGCCAACCCTCGTCTACTATTCGACTACAAGCTACACCCTAAATACAAAGTGGTGAGTTTTTCCAAAAAAAAAAATTTAAGCGAATTTTGCTCGATTTTTCAAGCTTTTGGATTTTTAAACAGCTTTTTTTAAAGCGATTTTAAGCCCAAAAAATCCCTGCTAATTCCAACTTTTAAAATAACGGCTAAATCGTATCAATTTACACTAAAATCTAGACCAATAAAAATAATTTACGGCACTTTTAGTTAAATAAACCTTTTCCAGAAAATGAGAACCTCGACCCTGGTCCTGCTCGTCGGCCTCATCGCCCTCGTCGGCCTTTCGATGGCCTACCCTGCCGCTGAGGAGCACCAAGACCCCTCTGCCGACCATGGAGCCCTTGCAGCGGAAGATGCCGACCCAACTGAGGGGTAAGTGGATGAACAACTTCAATTTCGTCGAGGATAGAGAAAAGTGGGAGTCGCATTCATTTTTGGCTGGACTGCTTGAAGTTGACGCCCAGGCTAGAAAAAAGCAAAAAGTCGGTCTCGCAGTCTAGTAGCATCTAACCAGCTCGGAGTCGATGTCCAGACCGGAAAAAAGCAAAAATCTTTTCATAGCCGTAGCAACTGAACAGCTCGAAGTCGATGCCCAGACCAGAAAAAGCAAAAATCGCTTTCATAGCCGTATCAATTGAAGAGCTTGAAGTTGCCAGCTCGACCAAAAAACGTCAAAAAAAAAAAGTAGCAAAAAAAATAGCCCCCCGGTAGCGCAATAGAACCGTTGAACAGCTTCAGGTTGACGTCGGGGCTGTAGAAACTAAAAAACCCTTCTAAACATCGCATTTTCAGACACGTACGCGCGCGTCGCTGGGGCGGCTACTACGGCGGATACCGCGGCGGCTTCGGCGGCTACCGCCCGTGGGGCTACAGGCCGTGGGGATACCGCCCGTACGGATACGGCATGTACGGAATGTACGGAAAATAAGCTCGCCCAGCTCGCCAAGCCTGTACACAACGCCTTAATATTTGAATCTCACGTCTCCTGGATATCGTGCATTTAATAAAATATATGCATTCGCCGTTCAACACAACATTTATTCAACAGAAAAACTCTCAATAATTATCAATTCCAAAACATAACATAAAATGACTATACAAGGTGGGAAATTATCTTATTATTTGTCGACGACCTCTTCGCATTCACAGCGGCGTCGAGGGTCCACTCTGAAAAAAGAATAATTCTAAGTGAAACTTAGAAAAATCCTGAATTTTCCCTAGATACAACTTTTCAAATAGAAATAATAAAATACAACCTTAAATACTATTTTTACTATTACTAAAATAACCACTACAAACTTTAGTTGACAATACAAAAACATACAAAAATAAATATCAAATTTTCGACAAAAAATGCCGATTTCGACCAAAATTTGCCTAAAAATATTGATTATCATGTCTGGCAATTTTGATGTTATTATCACTACGCATCGGCCATTAAGAAATATTCAAAATACAAAAATTAGGCTCATTTTCGATGAAAATTCGCATTTTTTAGCTTTTTCTAGGTTTTGCCAAAAAATCGAACTCGAAAGAAGGTTTAATTTTATCAAAGACGGCACTAAGATACCGGCCACCTTACTACGAGTATCTATAATAACCTTATCAGCAAAAAAATTGGATTCCCCCCGCTAGTGCAAAAGCGCAGAAAACACTACAAACCTCCTGAAACGACTCGTCCTGGCTTTCCGTGTGCTCGTCGAGACGGGCTGAAAAAGGAAATATACTAATATAAGAACAAACCAATAAACTTATAAAGTGTGAACTAAATAAGAAATTCATTCAAAATAAACGTAACTACAACTAAATTCCAAAGTAACAAAAACTAAACTTAACCTAAAAAAAAAATCGTAAATTAAATAGTTGAATGGTAAATTAATTAAAAACTAAGGACTACAATAAGCAATTCTAAATTAAAGTAATCGTCTCCCACCTCGGTATCGTGTGATGCGACGATAGACCGGAGGCGGGCACGCTTTCCTTGGTGGCTGCTTCCTGATCGAAGACTAAAATTAACGACATAATTCTGATTATAGAACCATTCGATACCTTTTTGGGGGTGGCAGCTGAAGATTTGGGTGGCACATCGTTCTCAGCCTAAAAATAAATGTTTGTAAACCCGAAATAAAAATATAAAAGATACCATTTGCGTGCCGGCGTCGACCATGCTGGCGGAGCCGCGCGACTGGTCCATCGACGAGCTGGGCGAGGACGAGGAGCCGTTCTGAAAAAATTGGTTTTTCTGCTGTTTCCGGGGGCCCTGATAGAATTTTTAGCATGTACATCCCAATAAGTAATAAATTTACAAGAATCTATTAATCAAATACAAAAAATACCGTTTTTGCACCTATAAAAATTATCGAAATTCGAGCAAATTTTCGAATTTTAAACAAACTATTAAAATATTTGGTATGACGTTAATAAACAAACTACGACATAGAAAACGCCTAATTTGTCATTTTAATTTTTTGCAAAAAAAAAATTAGATTACCGTGTCGTTCATCGACGACGACGAGCTGGAGGCGAGACACGGGGACGGCTGTTTCAGCGAGCACGGGCAGGGATCCTCTTGCGATTTCCGCTTCAACACCATCGACAGCTCCTTGCATTCGATGACTCGTCGGGTAAGCGATCGCAGCATCCGTTGGTTTTCCATCTGAATCGCCACATAGAAACCTTTCTGCGTAAATTCTGCTGCGTCAAACGCACAAAATTTACAACTTTTGATTACAACGCACAAAAAAAAAATAGATTTTTCGACCAAAATTGCCGATTTTCGACCAAATTACGCCCAAAACTTTTTTATTGTTTTGCTTGTTAAAATTTTTTACTAAAATAATTTATTAAGAAATTACTAGTCTAATTTTAAAAACAAATCGACGCATCGAATGATCCCCCCAAAAAAAGTTCACCTCAAACTTCTCGCGAAGTCGCTTCTCCTCGGCCAGCCACTCCTCGGTGCGCTTCCGGACTTCTTGCTCGCGCGCCAGCAGATGCTGGGTGATCTTAAAAACACTTCTCATAATTGCGGAAAACAAAATACGAACCTCTAGGCGTGACCTAAGTCCTTCGATTGTATCTTGCACGACATGGCTATCATGTGTCGAGGCGACCGGGGCGCAAACTTGCGAAACTTCGGCTCTTCGCGGGCTTGCCGGCGCGATTTCCTGACAAAAAAATAGATATATTAAATCTAAATGGGTATCTTTCAAATTGTCGAAAATCATAATGTCGAAATTCCGGTGCTTTCGCATTATCGGGGGGACCAACTTTTTCGGTCAAGCCAAAATTGCTTTTATAAATAGCGGATGCATTTCTACATTGTTTCTAACTATTGCTACGCATAGAAACTTTACCAATTTTTATTAAAAATTTAATTTTCGGTCAGTACCATTGGCAAAATGACCGGTTTCCTTTTTTCCTTTTTTGAAGCTACGTCAAATCAAATCAAAACGTACCAAAACAATGTAAAAACACTATATTTGGTTACTAGGCAAACCGGGGCCGCCAGGGAACAAAATGCCCGTTTCCATTTTGAAATTTCGACACTATGACATTTTGACATGATGATAGCAAATCAATCTAGACCATTCTACCTCCTCGATCTTCGATGTGCTTGCATCCGACGTGTTCGACGTGTCCGAGGCGTCCATATACGTCGTCTGGTCGAGGACGCTCTCCTCGAAATCCGGTGGTCTCATCGATTGACGGCATCTCGAACTCGTCGTCATCGTCGAGGATGATGAGCTAATCGTCGTCATCTTCTTGGGCCGAGCCCCTTGACGTCGATGGGCGTTCATCATCCAGCTTCATCCCGATCTCGGCGAAAGGGTGTGCAGGCAGTTTCGAGGATGGCGGCAAATGTTCCTAAAAACAACGATTATTAAAAAAGGTACTTTCGCCTTATCGGGGGACAAAGAAATTGCTTTTTTATTGACCAATTTTTCAAATATAAATAGCGGAAGTATTTAAACTGTTTTTTTTAATATACGTAAACCGAAAAACTTTACAATTCCTATTTAAAAAACACAAAATATACCGATTTTTCGACAAAAATTGCCGTTTTTTTACCAAAATTTCGACTTATTGAAAAATTTCCAAAGTTTTTAGATAGATTTTCTAGTTAAAATATAGTATTTCTTTCAATTAAGTTACTAAGTATTTCTAAATTACAACAAAAAAAATGCACCCTCCGATAATGCGCAAGAACCAAAAAATTATCTGACCTGTAGTAAGTACTCGTCGGTCCGCTCGTGACTGCACAAACTCCACGACGGGGTCGTGGTGACTGCTTTCGCGCCGGCCAGTTCCCGCACGCGTTTCTTCTCCAGCCGGGCCTGAATTAAAGTTGAAAATTTAATGCCCATCAATTCATTCCTCATAAATTTTGCTGACCGAAAGAAACTAAATAATTAAAATGTACATTTTTATCCAGATTTCTTCAGCTTAAAGGTTTAAACTTCAAAAGTTTGCAAATATTACCAGCTCGTCCTCCTCGGTCTCGCCGCCGTCCTTGATGGGGCACTGCGTGATGTTGAAGAGCTGGTCGAGGTAGTAGCACCGTCTGGTCGGCGGCTTCGCCCTCTTCGTCCTCGCCAGCGTTGTCCTCTTCCAAGTCATCGTCGTCAACCTAGGGTAAATTTTATTCCACGGAGAATGGGAATACCACCTTAGCGAGCTGCAGCAGCTCCTCGTCAATTTTGACCTGCTCCACAACGTCGTCCACTTTGCCCAGCTGCAGCTTCTCGTCAACCTTGCCCAGTTGCAGCTCCTCGTCAACCTTGACCGTCTCCAGCTCCACGTCAATTTTGGCCTGCTCCATCGCGTTGTCCACCCTGTCCTCCTCCACCACGCCCGTCAACCTGCCCGTCTCCATCTCCTCGTCCTCGTCATCGCTGAGCGTAATAATCGAAATCTCGGCGACGTCCGTAGCTTCAGCGGCGGTGCCAGCTCCGGCTCTTCAACTTTGTCCGTTTCGGAGATGTCCATCGCCAGCATCGTGTAGTCGTTCAGATTCTCCGGCAAAACCTTGTCCTCTTTTTCCGGGGTTTCGTCAGTTTTGATGTAAACTTGCTCCAGGATGACACTTTCGTTGGGCGCGTCGCCCTGCTGACCATCAGCTGAGTCGTCAGCTACGGTCGGATCGGCGGCCCTCAGAATAGCTTCTTTGTCCTCTTTTAGAACCTCGTCCGGCTCGTCGTCTCTCAGCCTCGACCGGTTCCGGGTAGGCGCCGGCCTCCTCGGCTCTTCGACGATCCCAGAATCGACCTGCTCGAGATCGTGCTCGTCCGGCCGCAGAGATACGTCGTGGATTTGCATCTAAATCGGAAGTTTTTGCCCATTCAATTGGCAGTGCTAGCAAACTCGCTATTGAATCTCGAATTTTCAGATGATCGAATTTTTCTACTATAAATAGAGGAACTGATTCTACGAGGTTTTCTACAAATTTACAATAAAAAACACGAAAAACTCTCGGCTTTCGATCAAAATTTGAAATCCTGAAAAAATTCTACGCTAGAAATATAGTTCAATGTCACTCAGAAACTATTCTAAAAAACTTGGCAAAAGATTAATTTTAATGTCTTTCCGCGTTTTTTACTATTCCTGAACATAAAAAACTTTAAAAATTGTTACAAAATACAAAAATCGCAATTTTTCTGTCCCAAGTTTCAAATCCCTGAAAAGTTTTCTGCGTTCCCAGAACGGTCTTCCGCTTCAAATATCGTTAAATTCACTTAAAAATACTACTAAGATACTTTTACTACGTTAAAGACCAAACCGACCCCCCGCGATAATGTCAAAGCCCCAAAAATGGCACTAACCGAGCGATCGAGAATGGCTTTTGAGGGCTGGCCTTCGTCGGGGTGTCTGGCAACGTCTAAAAATCAAAAATGTGGTTTAATTTTCTGATACCACAAATGGCGTCGGTGGTGGGATCGCGCACGGCTCGCGTACGTCTCGCGCGTATGGGTGATCCGGACGCCCAAAATGCGTATTTTTCAGCGTTTTATAAAAGATACGTTGTTGAGCGTCGCCTGGAAGTGTGCGCCGGCCCCGCGAAGAGTGCTTGATTTTGTCTAAAACCCATTTAAAGCTGAAAATTGGCATACTACCGTTTTGGGCGTCTCTTGGCGGCTCTCCGGGGCGACCTTTTGCATCGACACGCCTTGGTATGCGAATTTTACGCCAGTTCCATCCTAAAAAAGGGTTATAAATTCAATAAATTATATCTACGTTGTGCGAGGTGTAGCAGATCGTCACCCTGACGCGATCCTGCGGGCCCACTTTTGCACTCTCGTTGGCGGCTGGTGCGGGTTTCTAAAGAACGTTTTTTTCTAAACTTTCTTTTACCACTTCTAAACCTTGAACGCAGACACGTACAAACTATAAAAAAACCTTAAAAACTACAAGAGTATCGTTCTTTGACCAAAAATATAACTTTTTTACTAGTTTAAAGGTTGTAAATGTAGTTTTTCCATTTGAACAAGTACTAAATGTTAATAAAAATAGAAAAATATCGTTCTCCAATAAAAATTAGAATTTTTAAACCGTTTTTCGATTTTAACTAGTATTAAGTATTACTAAAATGATCACCGTAAACAAACTTCATAAAATAGTACCTGTGAATTCACCACGACACCCGAGTTCCGCAATCCGCTCGACACTGGGCGCCGGTTTCGAGACTAAAATTGTAAAATAAAGATGTCCTTAGCTAACTAAAGCATAATCAACTAGAAAGTAGCCTTAAAAGTCAGAAAAAATTAGAAAACACACCACCGGTGTTCCTTCGCCAAACGAGAAATCGGCCATCCTTGGAAGGCGTCTCCTGGCGTACGGCAGAAGCTTTGCCGGCCTTCGAGTTCGAAGCTTTTGAAGTCTGAGGCTTTGCTTTGTTGGTGGCTAAAAATAGATAAGGTAAAATATATTCAAAATCGCTTACGAACGACCTTGGGCGGCTCCGTCTTCTCCGGCTTGGAGTTCTTGGGCGCGGCGATGGGCTGAAAACGTGAAATAAAGCTTAAAAATAGATACGTACCATCGAAATGTTGCCCTTGCCCGTCGGCTTCATGATCGATTGGGCTGCATGAGCTTAGGGCAGCTGGGTTGGGCTTGGGCTCAGTGCCGGGCTGCTGAAAGTGGTTGTAGAAAAATATACAAATTCTAGATAAATCAACAGGAATATTCGACATTAAAAATAATAGAAGCCTATAAAGTTTGGTGCCACAAATCAACTAGCACCCACTGAAAACGTCTACTTCAGTTTACTACCTTTCAGGAATTCAAATTTATGAAACCTTGTTTCTCTGGGAACGAAGCCACTGGAAACGACCAAGCAACTTATGACCTTTTAAAACACAGAAAAGCAACTCTTAATCGATAAAGCGCTTCTTAAAGTGGTTATTACAAAGCTATTCATCTACATAAGGCAATAGAATTTGGACATTCAAAAGTAATAAACCTTTAATATTGGTTTTATAAATCAAATATACAGCTTCGTAAAGCCTCACATCAATTTATTAGCCTTTTAAGACCTATGAAGAACAATATTTTGAGTCTATGCAAAGCGTTTTTTGACACCCTTTTTTACCTTAACTTCCTTGTCCTTGGCGCTCTTGTCGAGCGAGGTGCTTCGGGTTATCCGCTTCCGGTCGTCGGGCTTGGACGGTAGCTGTTGCAGGTTTTAGGCCTAAAAGGAGATAGTACATTCTCAAATTCGAAAGAAATAACTATAAAGAAAATAGAAATAACTGGGTACCCACCAGCTGCGGTTTGTCAGCGCCAATTTTGGGCCCATCTTCCTCGGCAAGGTTGCACGGAAGGCTGGTGCTAAAAAGGTAATAGAATAAACTTTCATACGCTTAAAAGAAAACCGTTTTAAAAAGTAACTGTTGGGAAATCAATAATATAGGAGGAAGAATAGTAAGCTCGCTACATTGAAAGATTTCGGTTCTTTTCGCATTTCGGGAGACCAAAATTTTTAGGATAAGTCTCGAATTGTCTAGTAACTCAATAGCCAGTGTTTTAATAGTGTTTTTTAGTAAAAATGTCTACAGTTCAACTAGAAAAACTATCTAAAGACTAGAAATTTTGGAAAAGTCGACATTTTGTGCAAAAATCGGCCATTTTAATTCGGAAAATTGCAGTTTTTTAACCCCTTTTTTAAGAAATTTTGTAAATTTCACGTCTATGAATGTAAAAAACGTTTAGAAAGACTTTGACTATTTATATTTGAAAATTAGATTCTAAGAAAAAAGTTGGCCCCTCCCACCCCCTTATAATGCGAAAGAACCCAGGAAGATCTTACAAGCTGGCGCTCAAGAATTCAAGTAAAACAAAGTTGTAGTTTTGACACAAAAACAAAGAAAAACCTTTTCAAAAGGTCAACAATCAACAATCAATAATCTAGAGACAAGGATCGTATCCTCACCCCAGCTGCGAACGGGTTCAAACACGCTGATGTGACATGCCCTCGGGCAACTCGCACCTCTGCCCGCGCGATCACTCCGATTCTGACACGCCATCCCGGGCTTATCAAAGTAAAAAATAAAATGAAAACACTAATGGATACCTACTTTATCAAGTACGATCCTTGTGATGGATCCGAAGAAAATCGGGCATAAAATCGGAAAATATCAAACGCAAATTTCGTTCTTTTAGTATCCTTCTCTGGGTATCTCTTTTTTTAATAAATTTTTCAAACTATATATTTGTTTTCAGTGGGAATGGAACCGCAAGGCAAGCGCGCCAAGCTGAGCAACGACGACGATGCTCGGCAGGGAGTACAAATCAAGCCGGATCAATGGTGCCTCGACTACGACGCCGACGAGGACGTTTTGCTGCTCGTCAGCAAGCAACTCGACGAGCGAACCGGCATCCTTCCCGATGCCCGCCATCTCGTCGATTTGCCGCTCGAAGTGCTGGAGGTGATCGTGGAACCCGTGGAATTCAAGACGATTTTGGCGCTGGAGGCGGTGAACGGACGTCTGAAAGTTGCCTGCCATCGCTGCTGATCAGTACTTGTGCTGCGAAGGCGATCCCATTGCTTTGGAGTCGCAGGGGTGTATAATCATTGCGTTGACCGCCTCCCGAGTCATCAAACCAATTCGGCAATTAGCGCAGACTTTGCTGGTCGTCACGTGCAGTTCTTTGTTTTTCAACAAAGCTCGGACCTTTCACAGCTGCTGTTCAACGGCGATTCTGCTGTTCTCCCCACGAGCCCCGTTCCACGTGCGACCACTTTATCTACACCGCGGACTTTCATGAATTGGATGCGGATTTATTCCCGCCCGGATGTTCGGTGCTCTGAAGCCAACGAACATTTGGCTGTTTACGTTCGTCGAGGTAGAGCAGCCTCCTCGGCGCCGTGCCGGGCTCGATTTTCATCAAGCACGTGCAACCAAGAACCGATGCGTTGTCTGCTGGCATGGCAGAGCGCCAGTTGCATTTGAAACACGTATTTCAGTCGAGACTATGCGGTACTCTAGAGATTAACTAAATACATGCAGGAGTGGATGGGTGGTCATCGGCAAATCGACGTATTCTTCGCACAAATCCGAAGAATGAGTGCCGAACAGCTTCGCATGCTGCAGCACTTCGCGGAAACACTGAAGTTTGCAGGAAATTCACAGGACGGCTGGCTTGGAAATGACCTACAGGCAGGCGACGGTGCCCTTCTACAAGTATTAATTGTGCCAGAACACTTGAATACCGGCAGCTATGGCGTTCAGAAACTGATCCTGACAGCGCCTGGAGCTTCAACGGCCTTCCTTCGTTCCGCTGCCAACGATGCATTTCGATTCGAGAACTTCTCTTTTAAAGGAA